AGACTTTTACTGGTAGACTGGTGCTGGGTCTCATTCTAATCATGACAGTTGCTGAGGTAACAGGGGGCTCCTCAGGGAAGGTGGGGGTACACAATGCAGAGGGGCTGACTGTGACTTGTTTGTTCAGTTGCTGTAAGCGTATCTCAAATTACTGTCTTTTCATGTGCTCAGTTAAATGGATTTATTTATGATCTTGTTTCAACTAAACTAACCTTCACAAAAGGATACATAGCTTATCAAAGAAACTGCAGTTTGAAGATAAAACTAATCATGAAAACACAAGAGAACTTTGAACTTTTTTTGTCAGCCATGTTACAGGGTAAAGAAATAATGACAATCTAATCAGATCTGCCAGGAAACCAGGCCAAAAAAATAATTGCAAATTATCTAGAAGACTATTTGAAATATGGCACCACAATTCCTAATGAAAAAGCTGAACTTCATCCTAAGGGCAGACTAATTTTTGAGATTATTAGCCAGTGACGGTAGAACATGTATATCATTTATAAACTAATATATATGCATATACAGGGGGTTCCAAGTTCAAAAATAATTTATTTAGAGAGTGCACAATCAAAAGGATTTGGAGACTACTGGCCTAGTCTTGCTTCTAAAAATATATTTTGATTTCTTTCTGATCATTCTGGTTAATTGTAGAAAACTTGGAAATGCATGAAAGAATAAAAAATTAGGAAAAAATCACCCACATTCTTAGCACCACAAAATAAATACCGTTTGCATTTGGTGAAATGTCTCTTCCATCATAACTATTTCATATAAAATGCCTTTCACAGAGGGATGCTCAAACTGCAGGAAAAGACTTTATAGAACATGATGTTCCACTTCACACTTTGGTCTCCACAGAGTCTAAGAAGGTATGTCAGGAATGCAGCTGCCATCTTGGTTTTTGAACATTTGCCTAATATATTTGGGATAAATTTCACTCTCAGTGGGGGTGCCATAGGACCTCATCCCAGGTTATACTGTGGGAGCCACATACACCAGTATTACTGAGTAAAAGGAGAGTGGTGGAGCAACTCCTGCACTATCTTAATGTTTAAATCAATTAGCCCATCTCAGCCATCAGTGGTATGGTTAAGGAGTCATGCTTAGATTCACCAGATGGAAGGGGAGCAGGCCTGCTCTGGTTTTCAGTAATCCCCAGGAATTCTGAGTATGCCCTTTATGGAAGGAAACCATAGCTGAAGGTCCTGCAGTGACAGGCTCTGCCCTGGCTTGTGTCAGCTCCAACATATCTCTCATTATAGAAAACGCCCCCAGTTTCACACTCTTAATCTTCTCTAGATGTTTGCCCTTCATCTCCACAGTGAAACACTAGCTGGCATTTGAAATAATCTCATCACCCTCAAAAATAACTTCTGATCATCTGACTTGAAGCAGAACTTTTCTATAGGTTTAGCAGGATTTCCATTTCTGTCTAAGATGAAATGCAGCATTTTCCCAAGCTTTGGGATACACCCCAAGTCACAAGACCCCTTCCAAAGCCTCGAGGTCACTGCCTAAACCACAGGGTGTAGAAACAAATTACTCTTTATTTCCCTCATTTTTTTAGACCCTCATATGATTTCCCCATTTTTGCTTTATTTATACCAAGTTGTCCAAGTTGCTGTCCAGGATACTTCCAGGGTAGGAGGGAAATTTTTATGCAATACAAAGGCTAAAGAATGCAAATCCTACAATTTAAATATCAAGCTCCTCAATGCAACATTTAAATAGGATCCAACTTTAAAGTGTTTGATTTATAGTCAGGTTTTTTTTTTTTGAAAGGATTTCTTTTGTATGTACTTTGATTGTTTTTCAGGAGTGGAAATGGATTTTCCTAGAATCACCATAGGCAAAGACACATTGGTGATACCCCCAGCTGATGTCAGGGGTGCAGTCTGTGGCAAAGTGAAGCTAACTGACCCTTTCCAGAACTAAACCAGCAACCCTGACCTCAAAATTGTAGCCACCTAATGAAATAATATTTAAACATCCAAACCCTCATACTGTTGTTTCCTTCCCCCTCAGCATTTTTTTGATGTGGATCTGGAATGACAGGAGAGTAAACAACAACTACAGCAGCAAAATACTACACCTGCTAACATAATTACCCCCCTGGGTATATTTACTCTTGATGTGAAAGGAGCTGAGGAAGGATGGTAGGAGTCCTTAGGGCCTACACCACTGCAATCAAATGTTACCTCTATTTATTTTTGTGAGTCTCACTTGCAATTACTGAAGAATAATAACTCACATTCCCTCTTTTCTTTAATACCTTTGCTGCCTCACCTTTATAAGGTTCACCATATTTATTCTTTGTTGCATGCCAGTATCTCTAATTTTCCACTGGCATTTTCATTGTTCTTTCAATGTATGTTTTAATACTCCTTTCCACCTGAAGTCCTTCTGGGTGTAAATTCAAAATAAATTATAAATAAATTCACCTAAAGTTATGGAATAAGTCTGAAGGATAACAGACCTAGATTGAAAGACTTATCTTTTGTTTTGTTCTAAAAACTTTTCAGAAAGCACCTTGAACAAATCTTTAAGCAAGAAATTGTACTGGCTTCCAGGGAGGCAGGGGTAGAGGTGTGTTTATAAGGAGAGAAAGATCATTAGAGAGTAAGGCACAGGAAGGATCACATTAGTACTGGTTTTCTGTTACATTTACAATTCTTAATATAAATATTTTTGGTCTCAGGATCAAAGAAAAAGGCACATGTTGTCATGATAGTTTGCTAGTCCCATGTGGGACTGGGATTGGGATATTGGAACTTTCAACATTAAAAAAAAATCAATTTCCTTCCAGATCAGTTCCATGGAAGCTTCTACAGATATGGTTGGCAAGAGCATTCCCAAACACCCAGAAGCCCCAGTGGGATAAAAAAACATGATGAGAAATTGGCTCTCCCTCATACCACATACCACCCAGCAGGGAGCAAAGACATGCCTTTAGTTTAACCTTTTGTCATCCCTGGAAAGGACAAAGTGTAGGTGCTGGATACTTTCCACACCCCAGAAACCCTCCTGGCCTGGCTTTAGTTAGTGTTTCAAAGTAGAAAATAATAAAAGGTGGATATTATGTGGGAAGACATTATTAATAAGTATCACAAAGGGGATATAAATATACCAGAACATCTAATTCTGACCTTCCCTGAAGGAACTAAAGAGTCTATGAGATGAACCAGTAAGTGCCTTTAGCACAAACTTTCTTAATAAACAGAAAGCAAACTGAGGATAAAAGTCTTCTTTCTTGTGGCTCCTGACTTCCTGGCCGCGCAGTACAATTTCATCTAATCCCTGACCTACAGTCATCCCTGGCCAACTAATTTTTTTTTTTTTTGAGAGGGCATCTCTCATATTTATTGATCAAATGGTTGTTAACAACAATAAAATTCAGTATAGGTGGGTCAATGCTCAATGTACAATCATTAATCCATCTCAAGCCTAATTCTCATCAGTCTCCAATCTTCTGAAGCATAA